AGTGTGGCCTCCCCCAGGTTTTGGGTCCCAGCGGAGTGTCAGCCCCCGGACCGGGGCTTCCCCCACTTCTAGTGCTTCCCAGGCTGGGGCTGCAAGAGCAGGTGGGCCTCCGCTTGGGCTTCGCTGAAGCACGAAGGGGCGACGGGGACTCGCCGCCCCGCCCCGAGCAGGCCGGCGCCTTTGCCTTTCGTTCCCCTGAGCTCCAGGGGCCCTTCGAAGTCTGTCACTTGTTTCCTGAGCCTTCGCAGCCCGGCTGGCCCACCGCTGCCTCTGTAACTTTCTAAATACACTTTATGATTTGAAAAGAAGGGGGCCTGGGGACGCACAGGACTCGGCCGGCTCTCGCAGGCTGCTTCACGTCCCCTTGGCGGGGAGGTGTCCCGTTTATATCGGACATGTCACCCCAACACACGCACTAGGAATCCCGATAGCCCCCCGTGCCCCGGAGTCGCTGCTGTCGGGTGAAAGTAACCTTTTTTGCCAGACACTTCACAGGCGCAGTCAGGCGCTCCGGGGCCACAGCCCAGCAGAAAGGGAAGCATGGCTATGAGGCCAAGACGGACAACCTCGATCGAGCTATTCGGGCGCGGCCCCTTTAGGAACTCATCTGGTCAAAGTTGGGAAACTGATTTCACAAACAGTATTTGACACAGACAGGTGGTTGGGATATAGGCCAATTCGAGGCTTTCTGGGAACTGTAGTTGATTTTGGTTAGGAACTATTCCAGTAGGGCTTTCTGGGAATTGTAGTTTCCCCAGACCTACACTTCCACGCCTAGTGATTTTTAGCTTCCCCGAGGACACCGACCCTTTCCCCAGACCAAAAATGCCCCGACATGGGCTCCTGCTTGCGGTTTTGGTGGGCACAGTGATCACACCTGTAGCCCACCCCGGCCTCGATACCAAACTCCTGGGGAGCCAATCACGAATTATCATGGGACACTTGTGCTTGAGGTACCTGGCAGGTGTAGAGGTTTAACTGGAAGGGCCCCGGCCGGAGAGCCCAATGGTGACACCCCCTTCCCTGCTGGGCCTGCGTCAGGCACGGGCCTGCGTGAGTTGTGACCTCTGGGTATTGAGCAAACAGGAGGCTGCTTCGGTGGACGGTCATTTACAAGTAGTTGCCAGACAGAGTATAAAGAAAAAAAAAGGATTTTTTTTTTTATTTTGTGAAAAACAAAAGCAAAAAAAAAAAACACCTAAAACCCCAAACTCCAGAAAAAAATCCTAAAAAATACGTGTTTTTAAAAAATACTGTATAAGTCTCTACTCCTCTCCCCCTAAACAGCTCTTCTGTGTCCTTTCATCTAAGTGCCCTCTCCCCACCCCCTTATTCCCATTTTTGCTATTGTACCCCACTTCCCGATACTATCCAGGATGCTCATCCCTATGTTCTTACCTGCCACCTTGTTCTTCCTAGAATTTTGGTGAGCCTTGTACCCACAGTCCCATTCCCCAGCATGCAAGACCTGCCCCCCTTCCTTTTCTGGGGCTCAGTAATCCTTCCCCCTACCAGTCCCTCTCCCAAGAATCTAGTCTAAGCAGGAGCATGTAAGGAACCCCTGAGAAATACCCT